TATGGCAATTTGACAATTAAAATTAATGATTGCATATGTGTATTATAAAAACTGATGTAATAGAACTTAAGAGGACAGATGAGTAGTGGTTACAAAATGCTAAGGTGAGTAAGGGACGCAAACAGAAAGGAGTACCATGTTGTAACTAGAGAAGAGGAAGAATTTTGTTGTGCACAGAAGAGTAATAATGAAAATGTAATAATGAAAATACACTATATATTTCTACATGCTAGAAAAATGAGTTTTGAAACTTTTCACCATAAATTAATGATAAACATTTGATAAAAGAGATGTTTAGCCTGATTTAAATATTACACATTATATAGATGTATCAAAGCATCCCATTTTGTATTATGCATTTATGCATATAATTTTATGGATTTATATATCAGTTTAAAATTGCTTTAAATGAAAAAAGCATATAATTTAAAGGGGTTCACATTATGATTTTTTCAGTAGATTGTGAATAAATATCTAAACATTTCATGTTGTACTGTATATATTTTTTGGTTTTATAACAAAAATAACCAAGTGAACAACTTAAAGGAGGAAAAACTTCTTCTGGCTCATGGTTTCAGAGGTTTTGCTGTACAGACCTTGGCTCTTCTGGTTCTGAGCCCTTTATGAGAAAATACACCATAGAAGTGGAAGCACATGTGGCAGAGGTTACTCATCTTCCTACAGATAGGCGGCAGAGAAAGGAAAGATAGGAATGAGATGGGGCAAGAAGTAGCCTGTAGGGACGTGCTCCCCCATGACTTATTTCCTTCAGGTAGGCCCCCCTTCTCGTGTTTGTACATTCTCTCTAAATAATTTCATTACGAGGGGATCATGCATCCAACACATGAGCCAGTGGGGGACATTTCATACTCAAACCATAGCATATGTTTAATACTTCTAACACAGATGGATTTGAAGTGTCATTAAATGATGTAACAGATACTTGAGAACTAATGTATATCCAGATCAACAATTAAATCTCATGGTGTAATACAATTTGACATACACAAGACATATCTGTAAGGGTTAACTTAACTTAATAAAATGAAGTAGATCTTTTGAAGTTTAAGTTATCACCTAGTAGATTGTTCATTTTGGAAATATTTGGACTAATTTTCTATATAAGTTTATGCCCTGCTCTAAGATTCAAATTTAATATACTTTGTAGAAATTAGCCTCAAGACAAAAAAAGGTTTTAGGCCACCAGTAAATGAAGAACTTTTAAATCAAGTTTTTTTTTATACTAACACTTACCAAGCCCTCCATCTAGAATATTGCCTTCTAAAACAATAATCAGAGAATGGATTTTATTGTGGTAAGAACTATGGTGGGGAAGGGGTATGCCTTTAATTTGCATAGCAGATTAAGTATGACATTGAAAGGAGATATGCAAAAATATATCTGAAGTGAGACTCAACTACTGATATATTTTAGGAAATAACACTTAGGAATATTGAGAAATCGACAACTGGCTTTCTTAAAACTGTGCCTGTATATCCTTTGGAAAATTTTTGTGTACCACTTATGTTACTTTCACTCCAACCTGGAAACTTTTATCTTAGAAAAAAATGGGTACGCTTACTCTAAAGACCTTGTTGTGTTAATTACCAATGCCACCAGAGCCATAGAATTTTAAAATCAGCATTGATTAATTCAGACACTTAAGACCTAGGGCCAGTAGCAAACATACCTAATAAACATTGTCAAAGAATTCTGGGGATAGTTGTACCTACAAGGTAGAACAGAGAACATGGTAAACTTGGAGCAATGCTTCACACCCAATATTGGCTGCTTTGCTTTTTCCCATTCCACATTTTGAAATCTATGTTTCTAACGCTATGCTTCTATCTTAAGATGAATAGAAGAGAGGAAAGATCCTTTTCAATGGTGGTAGATATTAGTCAGGCATGGTTTCACACATCTTTAATCCCAGTCTGTTCTACATTGTGTGTTCCAGGCCAGCTATAGCTACAAGGAGATTCAGCCTCAAAAAAACAAAAACAAAAACAAAAACAAAAACGGCAAATATTGTGCAACAACTTTGGGTGTGGCTCTTGTACTTAAAACTATACCTGGCACAGGAACCTTTCAGCCTGCAATTCATATGCTGAAGGTGGAAGGAGCATGGCAGTGATTGTTCCTCCCTAAATCAAGGGCCAATGGTGCCTCCTCCTTCTCCCCCTCCTCCTCCCTTGCAAAAAGCAAACCAACAGGTGGCAGCTTGCTTTTCAAACTGCCTTTCAAAATATCTGCATATGAATTATGCAGAGAAAAAAACTCATCACCTTAGTAATAATGGATTTTTATTCAGCTGGGATTAATAATCATTATAGTAGCCTGTAGGAAATTATAAATATTTATAATCAAATACCCTCTTGAGGTTTAAATATCACATGGAGGATTTAGTGGCTGTTGTGTGAAAGGAATACACAATGGGACATAGTCCAGAGAGCTAAGACTAGAATCCCAGGCCAATTGTTCAGCTTACCCCACAACAAGCAGACAGGTAGGATCAGTCTCTTGTCAAATATTAAAGTCCTATTAATGTTGGGGACACCGAGGGTTCTTATTTGCACTTTTCTCTAATTATATACCTTTATTTTTTATAGTCTTTTCTAGTTTCATGGCTTTCATATATTCATCCTTCACTTTTTAACTGTAAGTCATACCATTCACTGCTTTCTTGACATCATTACTTGGATATTTAGTACACATATCTCAAACTCACTAAGTTCAAAACTAAACCACCAACCTACCCACACAATCTTCCTTTTCTCAGTGGTTAGCAACACCATACTTCCTATTGATCAGACCCCAAACCTGGAAATCCTGCTGGCTGTGCCTTCAAAATTTGCTCAAAATCTACGCTTTTTCACTACATACATTGACACTACACTGGTTTTGACAACTGTTACAGCTTTCTGCAGTTGCTGCATTAATCCTCTATGAAATCCCCCTTCTACACAGAGATATCAAATTACAAAATATATCATATTTTCTCTTTTGGAAAACCTAAGCACCTCAAATATTGCTGCCACATAATGAACAATCAGTATATATCTGCTAAGCTACCTCATATATCCCCCAAAGGCTCCTAAAGGCCCACATCTTAACAGCTTAGTCCTCAGGTTTGTGCTAGAGGACTAAAAAGTGAGACCCAATCTAACAGGTATTTCCTCTGAATGGGACCTTCTTATCCACGAGTGCATGCCCCTGAAGGGATACTGAGAACCCAGCTTCTTTCTCTATTTCTGTACTCTTCCATGAGTTAACAATCACATTTTACCACTCATTAGCCACCGTACTGTATTGTATTAACAGGACCCTAAAGCAACGAGGCCATTTGACCATGAACTAGAACCTCCCAAACTGTGAACCACAATAAATCTCTCTTTATAAGTTGATTAATTCAAGTATTTGTTACAGTACAGGAAAAATTAGTTGAAAAAAAGAGTGGATTTGTCTTCTCCTTTCCTTCCCAAGGAATCTAGGGAATCCCTTTTGTTCACACTTCCCTAAATATAGGGGCCTCACTCATTAATTCATTAAATGTATATTAAGCATATAGTCACTCTCTATTATGTGCTATGAAGAAATGACATAAAGACTTGACTATCCATATAGTAGTAGGCAATTCTGAATGAAACCTTCCATCATCTTCCAGAAATGATTTGGGTTTTAATGCCGTTTCTGTTTGGAAGTTCCTGGATAGTTCAGGACTAAAGGTGAGAGCTATGCCTTCAGCAAAGATGTCTCTTAAAATAGGAGAGGGGTGCTTGCTATCAGTGTTAACCTACATCTTGATGTTGAAAAAATATAAAATACCTTTACCTCAGTGAATATTCTGTGGTGATTACTATCTGTGCTCCCATACATGGGTCCAAAACTATAAAATCAGTGCTTCTGGCACTAAGTTTGATACCAAGAGGTAGATATTTCTGTCAGCAGATGCAAACAGTCACCATCATTTTTCTTGTTCCTGCTTCTCCAAAATTACGAGTGGGCACATTACATGTTGGCTGAGTAAATGAAAATGAGATATTTAAGGTATCTCTCAATGATTACAGTTAGTTTGGAGATACATACTAGGTTCTATTTGCTTGCATAATCTAAGTACTAGTAATGCATGACTCATTTCAATAGTTGTGCAAATAGCTCTAGATTATGAGATCATATACATAAGCATTGGTTTATTTCTGATAATTTATTTTAGCAATGCCTTATTAGTCTAATTGATCCTCAAAAGGCAATATTCCAGGTCATTACAGTGTGTCCTCTAATTGCCAAAATATAAATAAGCACTCTAATTTGTAAACACATAAGTTTTGTGTTTCCTATCCTTGGTATCATTGACATTTCAGAACAAATAATGCTTTGCTGATGGAAAAGGGTTACACTGTGTGGTGTGGAGTTTATGTCAACCCTTTACTGTGAATGTCAGTAATCTAGATTTCTTGGGAATGCAACCTAAAATGTCTCCATATATTGCCAAAGTAACCATGGGTGGGGGTCAGGTTGGAAATTTCCTATATTGAGAGACAATTATCTAGCCCAAATTCCTAAATTTAATTTGCAAGCTAGGTTGTGGTTAAATAATGGCTCCTAAAGGAAATGGAACTACTACCATCAACTCTGTTGCCCACAGCAGAGAAAAACGTATTTTATTAATTCCTTTTCATTACTCACAAGGAATTTTCACTGTTCAATTTATATCATGGTCAAAGTCTCAGGAAAACCCACCTTCTCCCTAGCAACACAGTCACTCTCTTGAAAGTTGTTATTTTCCTTCCCAAGAATTATTAGGTGAGCCAACCAACCACCCATACTCACTGTCTCAAGTCTTGATCTCTCCAGTCTGGTCTCCACTCAGAGACTTAGATTCAGTGTTTTTAAATTTAAAAATGTAGTTCTATTACTTTGAAAATTAAATTCATCATTGGCCCCCTGCTCTGCAACAACTCTTACCTTCTCAGTTTACCTCAGGAGAATGGGATCTTCAAATGACAGAGGCTGTCTTGTTTACCCTTATATCCCCAGTGATGAGCATATAGATGGATGCTTACTCATGCTTGATGAGTGAAACCATCAGTGGAAGAAATCTGGAGTTCTTGAGTTTCAATGTGGGTTTTCCTACAACATGATACTGCCCTTTAATATTGAAAGCAGAGAAAAGTTCATCTTAGAAATCTATACTTCCTTAAGTAGAAGTTACTTAATAAAATTTAAGATCTTTTTATCTGATGTCTTACTCTCATCATTAAGCATAGTATAGTGTTTTCATGTACTAATGCCTTTAGCAACTACCAGGACAAGCCTTATTATTTTCCTCACCATTCAAAAGTCCAAAAAGAACTGAAACTTTTTTCTTGGGTCTTTTTACTTATCAATTTCTACTCATGTGTCATTACTCATAAATCTCAGTATGACTGACACTACTAACCTAGCAATAGGAGTCTGGGAGCTCCAGGCTCAGTTCCCTTTCTATTTTACTGTTTCTAACTTGCTAAATACAATGAAAGGAAGAGGCCAATTTTTTTAGAACTGTAGACAGAAAAATAAAGTAAAATGGTATCAACATAGGTTAGGAATGAAGTAGTTGTCTTCCTGCTCAGGGAATACGCTAGGGCATATAGCAGTTATTTTGAGTATTAGTAGTCCTTTGTATACTTTGCTTGCTGCTCAGCTGTGCTCCAGGCAGGAGAAACTGCAAGGAAAGAAATGGTCTGATCATTTCCATTATTTTCACAGATGAGAATTTATGACCTGTTTGCTTGGGTCAGACTATGCCTCCCAGGATTCTATTACAGTGTTGACAAAAGCTGCCTCAGACTAGGCTTGCAGCCTTGACATTTTCCACTTTAGGCATTAGCAATGCCTTCAAAGAAAAAAATTATCAGGTATTATTTGTAAATGCTGTTAACATAAAGATATATGAAGTTTACACATGTTTGTGGAGTGTAAAAATAAGCAAAGGAAGAACAGACTTTAAAAGAGGCATTTGGATGACTAGGTACATGATGAATGTGTGTGTCATCCATCCTGGGATTGTAACCCATCATATTAATGAAATAAGGCATTGAATAAACAGACACTTAAAGATAAGAACAGTTATCTGGGTGGAGAGTGTGGATTACAAGAGCATACATTCTGCTCTAAACCTCAGCATTATATTACATCTTTCCCTAGAGGTAGCAACTGGAGTGAAGTGGCCCATTGTTGCTTCCAGAATAATCAGACATATCCCGGTGCACGAATCTGAGTGAATGATGTTTATATTATTTATATAACAATGGGGGTAGTGATGGTAATGATGCTGTTTCTATCAATCATCCCTTATATTTTCTAAACACCATTCTTCTCAGGATATTCCCTATCCTTTATTTCCTGTTTTACAAGAGAACACTGAAACACAAGAAGTGGCTTGCTCAAGATATAAAAGTCAAGATAGAGAAGAACTGACCTAAAACTCGTATATGCTAATATTTATTTTCTGTCCAATCACATTGCCTCACACATCATAACTTATTGCTATTATTTAATAGACAAATGGGAGGTACCTCTATGGAGCCTCTAAAAGTTGAAAATATCTAAGTTCTAATATAAAACTATAACTCAAAGCCAAATCTTGGATTCCAGGAGTGCATCTGAAGCAAAGGAATATAATAAAATCCAATATCTACCACACACCAAAGGAGAGAAACTCTTCCTGAACAGTCAGAGGAACTTAGCCAGGAATATTGATTGACTTTATCAGAAGAGACATCTGCCATGAATAAGACGGATAGGAGGACCTTAATTTTGGTTCAGTCTGTTACATAGAGATACCTAGGACTAATAGAAGAGAATCAAACCTCTGTCAGGTATACAAAATCAGTCCCATTGCCTAAGTGATTGTAGTTTCAATTTTTTATTGCTTGAATTTTTATTTTATATGTGAGCATTTTGCTTGCATATATATAAGTGCACTGGTGTCATGCAGCACCCATGGAGGTCAGAAGAAGTTGTCAGATCCTTTGAACTAAACTTAAGGATGGTTGATAACCACCATGTGGATGCTGGAAACTGAACCTAGCTCCTCTCTAAGAGCAGCCAATGCTCTTAACAGCTGAACCATCTCTTCATCAGCCCTGTGCTTGTAGTAGACAACTCCCTAGCATTCTTACACTTAGATAGGCATCAGGAGTTAACAACCAGAGAGCAAAGTTAAAGGATTTAATGATAGGCATTTATGTCCAAAGGGATATTAAAGGTCAAATTGCCCTATTTGTGAGTTAACTATTTCTGGTATTGACATGAAGCTTGAGTCATGTAACTTTCCCAAATGTCTTGCGTTAAATGACTTATTCAAACTTACTGAAAACTGGTGGCTTGAAGGCCTTAATTTATGTCTGATTCCTATGTACCTGAGCCCTTCCTAATAAGAATGACACTAGTAGAAGTATGTTCAGTGTCTGATTCAAGTGAATTGACCTGAGAAGGCTGATATGAGATGACTCACTTCCTACAGCTTTTAAGGTAAAGTACATGTGAATTAGCATATATCTTTTCTGACCTAGACCCTTAATATTTATCTCATCTTTTTCTTCCTTGCATTGTGTCCTAGCAGGCTTATTTTATTTTCTGTTCTTTGTAAGTGCCAAGCTTTCTTTTACCTCTAGCTTTTTATAACTATCTATCTATCTATCTATCTATCTATCTATCTATCTATCTATCTAATTGTATCAGGCAGTTCTTCAATTCACTTTAATGCAATAAAATGTCTACCTTTATTATACTACACGGTTTAAAACTGCAGATAATTTTTACCACAGTGGAAGTACTATAAGTGGCTATACCACTTTTCTGTAACTCTGCCTAGTGCAATGTGTTATATGCAGAAAACATTTATTGAATTTAATTAATTTCAACAACAATTTGATTTCAGAAAATGTACTGGGTCATAATGTATCCATCACAAGGTGATATTGGTCCATGATAATGGAAAACTCAGACATTGTTTAATCTCATTCATTCTGGTTTTGCACATCTCTTGGTCATTTAATTGTTTATATTCAGTTTTCCAATCTCCCATTATCCTCTTACTACCTCCCAGCCTCTAGAAGTACACCTGTTCAATGAAGTCCTCATTTGTCATATTGCCCTTTCAGCAATTCTGAACATTTGGAGTCAATCATACTGCTTACATTCCCACCATAACTACCTTGCCAGAAAATATCCATCTAGCCCTTCAAGATTGCCCAGTGGGTAAAAGTGCTTGCCATGCAAGCCTGGCTACCTGAGATTGATCCATGGAACCCACAGTGGAAGGAAAGGATCCATTACAGAAAGCTGTCCTCTGATCTCCACAAAAAGGCTATGCCATGTGCCGACTTGGCAGACTTATACACACACACACACATAGACACGAAGTACAGACAGACAGGCAAACACACACACACACACACACACACACACACACACACACACACACAGTATGAAAAGGATGTTTGAAGCTACTGTGTCATAAGAAATTCCTGATACCCAACCAAACAATTACTTTGAGGCTTATGATTTCTAGAACAGTCAAGTAAAATTAATTCAAAAATAGTTAATGCCTTAAAGCCAGAAAAATAAATCTAGGATATTAAATTTTCAGTCAGAATTCATGTTTATGAATGTATATTAGAAGAGACTGCGGGAAAGGGAGCTGGAGGGGGAAGTCCCTTCCACTGTGCACAACATAAGCAATGGCTTCTCTGGTCTCACAGAAATTGTTTCTTTGGGCTAGGGAACCCATAGAAGAGAAATCTAAGCCAGTCACATCTATGTCTTTTTGAGAAGATAGAAGCTCTGTTCAAATTATTTTTACAGGTATTTGAAAAAGTAGCTATCTAATATACATGTCATTCATACTCCATCCAATTCAACAAGTCATGAACGGATGCCTGACTGTGATATCCATGGTACTGAGTGATAGGAGCACTGGAGTTGCTATTAATGTCTATGTCTATAAAGCAACAAATAGTCATGCTTCTATAAAGATTAAAACAAAGCCATTTAGTTACCAGAAATGGTTTTGCTCCCATCCTTCCTGACCCATCTCCCCCTAAAATCCCCTCCCATCACTGCCTCTGGATCAACTTCTGGCTGTGTATTTCAATGTGATCACCTATTGAATGACCTGTTTGTGGGTCAGTCCTCAAGCTGCTGAACAGTTTGTGTTTAATATGGAGAGTGCGTCATATTTATGTCAATCGTGCCAAAGGTTAATGGTGCTTCAGATAATGAGCTTTTATTCAAACAACATAGCAAAAACAAGGACATTTCACAAAATGCAACTGAGCAAAGAACAGTCTCTTTTTTTTTTTTCAGAGAAGCTGTGATTCAACTTCTGTCTCTTGTTTGTATCTTTCCAGTGGTTATCACGCATATGTAAAAACGGGGGGCTTTCTATGGACTGATCCTTCTTTAGCATAGGTGTAACGAGGTTCTCTAACACTGTTGTCAACTAATATACATCTGTGGATTCTTAGAGATTATCTCACAACTAGAGAAGAGATTATCACACAGGTTACCACACCATTTTCCAATGCATTTCCTTCTTGTCTTGGATTTAAAAGTGGCAAGATTACTCACTTTAATTTCAGTGCAGATAGCACTTTCCCTTGGAGATCCTCCAAGTATTTAATAGGAAAATAAGTTGATGATGCATCCATTAGTTTTCTGGCACATAGGAAAAATCAGAGAAATTTACTGAGCTGGCCTACTGCCAAGTCATGCTCCCTGCATCACCTGGGCCTTTGCTGCCAATCTGTAAGCCTCCAATTCTTTTTCATTGACTTCCAAGTGTTCCCATAACAAAGGGTGTTTCAGACATGATGTCTCTGTAAATCTTAAACTCGTTTCTCTTCCACCTGCACTCTTCTCTGATCAGATTACTTTGTCTTTTTCCTGGAAAGAGGAATAAAAGAACAAGCATTTGAAATAAAAGGAGAGGAAATATAGGTTATATAGTACACTTATTGTTTTTATTGTGTACCTCTGGGAAAGAAAAAGCTAAGGTCATGGGACAATTTTTTCTGCATAGTATGGACAAAGAATCTAAATTATAACAGGGTGACTAACAGTCTTGATTTGCCCGTAACTGGTGGGTTTATTCTGACATAGGTTATCAATATGAAAATTCCTATGGTCCCCAGAAAATGTACAGTTGGTAACCCTAGATATGGATAAGAAACTGAATCAACTGAAAAGAAAGAAGACTAAAAGCAACCCGTACAGAAACTTCCCTTCTATCCCTGTGATCGCTTATGTGTTGCTGTCCTCTTATTTGCTTTGCTCTTCTCTGTATTCCCATGGAAGTTGTCTATTCTACCTGAAAATTGCCTTTCTCCAGATTCTCCCAGGACTTCTCTCACATCTTTGAGGTCTTAGCTTAATCTTCACATCACTAAAGAGTCTTCCTCTAAGCATTTACTGTACACTGCTGGCATACTGTCTTCTACTTCTCAGTTTCTAGTTTGTTTTCCTCCTCTATTTATAGTTCTCAGCATTACCGAAACAGATCAATCACCCATTCACATACTTATTATGTGTCTCCATCACCATATGGAAGCTCTATACTGATTAGGACCAAGTACATTGTTTGTTGCTTTATCAGTAGCATGGTAACAGTAGCAAGAACTGAATATTTATTTATTGAGTGAATGAACAAATTTAAGTGCTTGTGTACAATAAGACCAGTGTCAGTCATCAGGATAATACAAAGGTACTAGCTAAAATATTTTAGTTCTAGATTCATGATCATACTAAGTAATTTCCCAGAGTAACATTATGTAAAAAGAACCTGAATATTCAATATGTATTACACATATTATATGGATCCATGATAGTAGATGCAGAGATTAAAGAGTCTATAATCATTTGGAAGTAGCATATGTTATTGACAAAAGTATAATGTTAATGTTAGAAAAAAGGAAAAAGATTTATCCTCCAATTCCAGCTGAAGAGCCAGGAACTTGAGCTGAATGGTTAGTAACTGTGCAGGACTGAAAAACAAATGAACGTAAAGATATAGTTTGATAACAGAAATTTCAGTTAACTGAAATGAGAAACTATAATTAAAAGATAGAACGGCAGAAGGAGGTGGAGATGAATGGACGAAGGAAGGAAAGGAGAATGTGAGACAGAGGAAGAGAAGAATGAAGGGAGAGAGGCAGAAAGAATAAAACAGAGGAAAAAGAGAGGGAGAGGGAGAGAGAATGAGAGAGAGGAGAAGAGGTGTAAATTGTATTAATAATATATTTATAAGGCCAAACTCTTCTCATGGACAGTGTCCCACACTGAGAAATCTCTCCCCCGATGGAAATGGAGGGGTGCATAGGGATTGTATTACATGTCAGAGGAAGGAGAAAAGGAATGACATTATGAGGTCTATAGTATGTCTTACAGCAAATATTTTGGACCTGCCGATACTGAGGGAGCTGTCCAGTCAGAATCATGATATGGCCCAGAATTTTTAGTTTTGAAATAAAAAGGATAAAAAGCAATTTAAAAGTTTTTAAAAGATGTGTTAGAGAGTGGAGCAAAAGCTAAATTGTGATAATTATATGTCGCGAAGAGCAGTAAGGTAGTAGGAAACAAAGGATAGCTAAAATAAACAGATACATAGGAACAAGAATAAGAATAGAGTTAGTTGAATTCTTTGAAATCTATTAAATAGAACTTCTGCTAGTTGTGGTGTGTGTACATATATATGTTTGTTTTACCATATACCATATTATCTTGTTTAACAATTTAAGTAGCAACTTAGAGAAAAAGACAGCTAGGTATTTTAATCAAATTTAAAGTCATCTTTTTGTGAGTTGATATAATTGTATGTATTTAAGTATTGTGAATATTTTCTTTGTTTTGTTCTGGCTAACTTGAAGTTGATGTGATTTAGAAGAGCTAAACATTTTCCTGTTTTTCTTCCTATTTTTCCTCTGTAACACAGAAATTAGTTTGCCTCCCTAGGCCAAAAATAGCTCGAAGGACATTGTAATAATAGTATTATGAATGTGTGCTGTAACTATCTTAAATGATTCATTGTGCCTAACAGGCTTAATGGAAGATGTTTTCTCTTTTAAAAAGTAGAGTAGGAAAAAATTTTTAAATTATTAAGCAAGGTTTAGACAAATGAACTAACTTGCTATAATATGATTGTGAACAAAATACCAAAGACAAATGCTGAAATACGTTTAGGAAAGAATAAAATACAAGGGTCTGTATAGCATCATAGCAGTATAGATGACTGAAAGAAGACTAAGAAGTCAAATATCTGTCAAATGAAAATGAACATTAATGAAAGTAAAAAGTAACTACTGGTTCTTTAATGGTCTGAGAGATTTCTAACACTATCCTGATATAGGTCTTCTGGTAAGTGATAAATATGATGGCATCCTGGGGACTGTTACCTCATGGTTTCTGATGTGTCTCAACAGTGTTCTAATCTGTTCCACTTTAAAGATCTCAGAGAACACCTTCTTCATGTAAATTCTGATGCATTGGATTTGATCCTTCATACCCTCTCCATCAGTGGAATCTAGCACTTGAGAACTAAGACAAGGACAGAGGGTTTAGAAGGCAACTCAAGAACATCTTTTGTTCCAAATAGCTAACTTGATTTAAAGGGATCTGGAGAGGAGAGGGTGGTGTAAGCATTAGGAGATGCAAAAGGAAAAAAAAATCAGTAGTGCAACCTGCAAAAGAATAATAAGTGAGTGAAGGATTGGAAATCAGAAAGATCACAGAATGAGGCTCAACAGTGAAGTTCAGGCAAACGAGGTTTAATGTATACAACACATGTGGAACAAAAAGTTAAAACATTAGGCTTGCATGACCAATTTTTATTGCTTATAATTGCTATTTTTATGATTATTATACATTAAGTGTATATAAGAGAATCTGAGCCTTTCCATATTTCTACCAGGACTTCACTACGGTTTAGAACATTGCTGCTCCCATTTGAAAAATTGTAGCTTTCAAAATGTGCATTAGTCCTGGCTGGGGTGTGGGGGCTCACCTTATGTGCGTGATGAAGCTGCACAGTGTCGTGACACCTGGAAAAGCAATTTCAGAGAATCCATAAACAGGCTTCATTAAAGAGCCTGGATTTCAATGCCAGTCATAAGGCCCTGCCAGCATTAGCTATGAGAGCTAATCAAAAGCACCAATTAAGTAAAAAATAAAAGACTTGTTTTTTGCCTCCTTAGTCCAAAGAGGCATGGGGACGGAAGGAAAAACAGTGTAAGTGCCATTATGAATATACAAAGAGAGACTTTCTCCTTCTGAACTGTAGATCTGTGCATTGAGGAAAGGTAAAACTCACAAAAAGAATTTGAACTTGCGTCGATTGTGTCTTCATTAACTAAAAATATCAGAATGTTCAAATTGAAATTAATCTTATAACTAAAGGTACAAGTCAAGCTAAATAATATTTTCAGGAGTCACTGTATTGTTAAAATAAGCCTGAGGGTGAGCCATTTTCTTTTCATACTCCTTCAAGTCCTGGTTATTATTATTTTTTATTAAGTGACTCCAAAGTCTAATCATGATCACAGAAAAAAAAGATGACATACTTTCACAACTAAATTGTATGGTTTTGAAGATTTGATATGCTGTAGGCCTATTGTTTGTATAGTATTTGAAATTGAAAGGTCTACAATTGTGGCAGCTATTCTACCACTAAGTGCTAGGAGAGGCTGGTGCTGCCAAGTATCAACCACATAAAATAGGAAGATGAAGCAAATACTCATCTTACCAGTAGCATGGTAAAAAGATACAAAGGGACTGAGTTGTCATGAGACTCAGCTGTTGTACTGAACTTTATTCATGGATTTGTGTTATCGGTTACTTAAAGGACAGTGCTAGTATGGATGAATTAGTCCTGTCTTTATTTCTTTCTCTAAAATGGACTAGTTAGCTTTGAATATGTATATCTGCCACCTAAGAGTGACTAGTTATTTCACAGATGCATCCTAGGATGGGTTAAAAGTGACTTTGTATAAACCAGTGGACACTCATTACTATAACTACGAAGAAAAATAAAAGCACAAAACACATGTGTATTGCATGTGAACAATATTGATTTTATAAGCAAAAGCCACGTTATTTTTTTCTTATTCTGAGGTATAACAATCAGTTCATGTTGAAAAACTCGTCTGAATTCTTCCCAATGATGACAGTCTAGACCCTTGCTGTTTGGTGAAATGCCACTATTTGAAAAAGCTATCTAGTATTACTATTTAGTTTAGATATGGGCATAGCTAGGCAAGGAATGATCAACTTACAAAATTAGCAGCCAAACTCCACACTCTGGTTACTTTAGCATTGTTTATACAGCTCTCTGTAAGGTCCTTGTATAGCTAGCTGAGATATTAGGAATGCACCATTTAGAATCCTTTATGTTGAAACTTGCATGCTCTACTTGAAGCTAGGTGATAGCTTGAGTACAGTATAAATGAAATTAAGACATGGTTTAAAACACACACACGAAAGGGAGAGAGAGAAGGAGAGAGACAGAGAGAGAGAGAGAGAGAGAGAGAGAGAGAGATATCAGGGAGGTATGTGTTAGTTATTTTTGTTTGCCTAGTAGTTTTTATTTCTGTGGATAGAGAGAGCATCCCTTCCTTTTGGCACAATCTTACCCTCAGTGACATGCTGCAGAATGAGCTCGTGATACAATCAGTTGAATCAAGAAAATTCTAAGACACTTGTGAGAATTGTTAAAGATGAAGAGCTCCTTTTGCTGGAATTGTTATGCTGGTAGAGTGCAGTAAAGTTTAGAGATATAGAATGTCATTTCTGTTGCATTTCAGGGGATATATTTTAGCACAAAGTGAAGCTGATCTAAGCAATGATAGAAACATCTAAGGATAGCATTTGGATTCTCTGGTCCAGTCACCCAAGTT